TATTGTGCCCTAATGCCGCGCATGCACAGTCACATGAGTGTGTTAATACAAATACACACACACACACAAACCTGTATGTGTTTGCCACAACGCTCGCTGAGAGTTTGTGGCTTTGGCATTTGTTTCGCGCTCAGTTATTTATTGTGTACTACTTATATATATATAGTATGTACCTGGCATATGAACCATATAGATACATACATACACGAGAATATTCACGTTTTGGCAGCATTTTAGTTGAGCGGATTTAAACAAATTTTAATTTAATTCACTTATAATTGATTGCAATACACACAACGGCCTGTTTAGCGCGTTATTGGCCAGACTTGAACAATGCGAAACAAATTGGCTTTGCTTTATTGCCAAATCTCTGGCAAATTTATGCAATTCAGTTAGAGTTATGTGTGAAAAAATTGCATATTAAATTTCACATTTTTAGTTTATTTGCGCACCGCCCAGAAGCCAAAAATATTTCGATTTAATTGCCAAAAATAGACTGCGTAAAAAATTATGATGCATAAATTTAATTGTCGCGCCACCACACTGTCGACATTTTTTCAACTAAATGAAAATAGTTTTTCCATTAATATGGCGAATACTGAAAACTAATCGAAGTGCGTTTTTATGCGCGCAGCAACATTGCAAATTCAATTTTTTCTCAAAATCAACATCATGTTGCCATTAGGCATATATTGAACAAATCGAATGACAGTTTATTTAAGCATGATTATTGCTATACTATTATATTAACCTGTCATTTTATTCACCAGTAGCCACTTTTTGTGCCACTGAAATGAGTAATAATCATAAACTTTTTATACTTGTTAGCTGAGTGTATTTGGAAAAGCACATTTTCCATTTCCGTTGCTTCTATGAACACGAACAAATGCTCTCACTAATATATGCAAAAAATCAGTCAGAAAATTGTCAGAAGTAGAAAGGAGTTCTATTACAACAAAGTCGATTGGCATGGCAATTAAAGTATTTGTCTGTGTCTTCTCTATAAATTGTATACCCTCTATATTTTAAAGGATGTATAGATTTTCCTTCTCATCATTGATTTCCATTAGGATACTTCTACAATATCACGTCGGCTTTCTTTTCAATTTGGCACCTCATCGACTTTTCTTTCATTTATTTGTGGACTTTATGTCTATCACTCGAAACTTTAGTTCAAATATTAAGAATTGTCTCTTAGTAAAAGACTTGCTCTGAAGATTAGGACCACGGCAAGTGCAATTAGTTGTCCCCCTCTTGTAATAAGCAGAGGTGATACGTCTAGAGCTGGGCTACATTCTCTGCCAGCGGAGAAACGTCTTTCTCTGACAGAGTGATGTTTATTCCTATGTCAAGGTCTTACGTTCACCTATATGCTTTATCTTAACTGTTTTACCTTAACTAAATTACATTCCATCTGTATTTTAAGTTGTTGTCTGAAGGCGCTACTACTTTACTTGCTTTCCGTAATCTTTTATGTTACAATAGCAATATATTTCACCTTCATATTTGCAATTATACTTATTTCAATAGTTTAATTAATTATTACAACGCTACTTTATTGCCTAAACAACCAACTTACTATAACAATTTTATGCGTAAATATTTGTGCGTCAAAGCCACAGCTCAGCCACAACTTAGCCCACACAGCACCACCGATTCCTTTTCATAGCTGAAAATTACATATATATATACATATATATATATATTAAAGTTTATTTAATATTGTGGAAAGTCGTCTACTGCATGGAAGCCTATTCAAATATTTGGCAATTTTCTAAGTAATTACTTGTCACACCAGAGCTAAGGCACCAATTTATCAATCCATCAACGGTCAGTAACATGCCCTTTTCTTTGTGACAGTTTTCAGCTCGCGGCAGCTTGTGACAGGCAGCGGGCTAGGAAGCTGACAGGCAACTATTGTCATTGTCGGTGCGCGACTCAGATACATGTCGATAGAGTAATCTGGCCGAGGGCTGACATTAATGAGCATTGTGAGAGGTTTTTGGCACAGTTACTCAGCACATTGGCCAATCATTCAAAGCTGCTGAACAGGCAGGCTGGCAGGCTGGCAGGCCATTGTTTCCATAACTGTGACTGCGACTGTAACTGTAAAAGTGTGTGCTGGCTAATTTATACGCATTGTTTGCCATTTCGGTTGCGTTTCCCATTCGACCCTTAGCCAAAGGCGATAATACACATATATAAGCACATCACGCATACGCAATGTTGTGCGAACAACGAGCCAACAAGTATGAGTATGTGAGGCTATAAGTATGCGACCGCCTTTGTTGCACTTAAATCGCCTAACGTATTTACACATGCAGAGTAATTAATAACTGAGTAAATTAAAATTGCAATTAAATGCGGCAACGAAAAGGGAATGCAATGCAAACAGCAACTTAACACAAATAATCACAATAAATACAAAAAGGAAATTTTTAAACATTTTAATATTGCTATTGAATGGATTATTATAAATGCAAGAGTGCTGTGAGGCATAAAATTTTAATGCCTTCGCACACACACACACACACACACACACAAACAAACACAAATAAACACATTGTTGCATTGGGCGGCATTGTGCATAAATATCCTTGGCAAATTGTATGTCCTGCATGGCCTTAGCAATTAATCACAACATAATTTGGTTATTTAAATTTACTGTTCGAACTGTGAACATGCACACATCTACAGCTATAAGCTCTGTGTGTGTCTGTGTGTGCGTGTGTGTGTGCGTTCGTATTTCTCTATGCACCCTTAATTAAGATTTAATGCCGCATACAAAACGCCCTCAAGCTCAGCAACCACGTCGGCCCGTCGCCATTTTGTGTGCGTAATTAAGCGACAATAAGCATTTAATACTCATTTTGTGTTATATAAGCACCAAGAACGCACACACACATCTAAGAAGAAAACCAAATGTGTGCAGGCTTCATACACACATGAAATTAGTTTACAACGCCACAACTCCCGCCTTCGTCTCTCTGACACGCTGCTTTACAGCCACGCCCTTAACTGTGCGCCATTAAGTAGCACTTCTGAATTATAAGAGCGAGCAAACCAATTGAACGTTTTGGGCAGTTTACACAACAACAACAGCAACACCAGCTACAACAATTTGTTAGCTAATTTAATGCCAAATGCGGCGTCGCGACTGCCCATAAACACTACGACAACTTCTATGGCTAATACTAAAAATTATCTCCTGGCCACATCGGGCATGAAATACACTGAAAAATGGCCGCTTTGGGGCATTAGTTCAAAGCTGTGTGTGTGTGTGTGTTTGTTTTTAGAAAAATGTTTGTGTAAATAAAATGATAACTGAGGAAGATCAGTGCAATTAAATAAAGTACACTGGTTGGTATAAACGATTATGAAGACCAAACAATTATTATAAGAATGTTTTAAAAGCTGACAACAAAAGCTGCTGTAAAAAATTTAAACGAAAACTGAAAATAAAAAAAAGCTTTATAAAGCCACTAAAAAGCTGAATAGTGCTATTCATAATTTTATACTGCTGCTACGTCACCTAAGAAATATCAGTGGAAGCAGCAATCGAATAAAGGAAAGACTGTTACAATGAGGGAAATCATTGGAGACTAGACTTTAGCAAAGGAAGGTTTTTGATAAACAAATCTGAAAGTCTAAAGCTTAAATTATATTTTTAGTACGATTTTTAAATATAATTACCAATATTTAACAAACCTAACATAACTTGCTGTAAGAAAACTTAACATACCTCTAATATCAAGTTAGCAAGTGAGCTTGAAAGGAACTGTAGATAAGAAAGCTTACAATATACAAAAACAGGACATGAAAATCAATTGAAATAAGTCTAACATTTCTTCAAATTCTATGCAAGAAGGTAGTTATATTGTGTAACTACAAATATGCTATTAAAAGAATAACAAAACGCATGCAAACGCGTGATGTGTATATGAATAACTAACAGATAGAGATTAAGAAATTGCTAGCGGAAAATAATTGCTTACTTTATCAATTAAATATTTAAAACTATTCTGCCGAAGATGGTTAAAAGGTGATGCAGAAAAGTAATTACTTATTTTATCAATTAAATATTTAAAACTATTCTGCCGAAGTTGATTAAAAGCTGATGCAGAAAAGTAGGCAATAGTTTTGTTGATACGCCATGCCAATACAAAATACACACACATGAGAAAGGAAACCCACATGCTTTAATGATTACACTCGTTAACTGATTAGTGGTTATATTAAGGACAAATGCCATAAAGGTAGGCACTAGCATTTGAAAGCATTGTAAGCAATTCAATTGAGTAATCCACTTTCTCACTATTTCTGTGCTTTGCATACTCATTTAGCTTACAAAGGATTTGCGGCATTTAAGCACATTAGTGTTTTTACAGTGTAATTAATTTGGCCGTAATTTGTGGCAAAATGTTAAGCAACAAACTCGCATCAGATTAGTAATTATGTTACGTATGTCGGCCACACACACACCCACACACAATAGTACACACCCACACGCTTGTTGGCTCATAAATCCGCGCATAAATACAAATTACAGTAAAGTTAACTACGCACCAAGATACAAACACACAGACAGTCAGACAGTCATACAGTCGGACAGACAGATAGATTGAGAGACACAAAGCCAGAAAGTCAGCAGGCAATATCAATTTACTACATGAGCGCAGTCAAAGGTTGAATAAAAGTTCATGCATAATGAAACTGTTTGTTCGTGTGTGTGTGTGTGTGTGTGTGTGTAAGTGTAAGTGTGTGTGTGTGTGTGTGTGTCTTAAGCACATCTGGCACTCTCATTACTTATGTTTTATGACACCGGCTTAGTGTTTGCCATTTTGATATAAAATCCATTTGACCGTCACTCACGAGAGTCGCTTAAGCTGTCAAGTGCGCTGAACTGGCGACGGCTTAGCCCCAAATACGCTTAGCGAGAGAGTAGCTTCTTAATCACCAAACTGACCAACATACTCGTATTTGCTTTTTTCTATACGCAGACAATCATACGCGAAATGAATCGCCTGGGCATGATGGTCGACTTGTCGCACGTTTCGAAGGGCACTATGCGCGATGCCCTCGAAGTGAGTGAAGCGCCTGTGATATTCTCACACTCGTCCGCCTACGAGCTGTGCAACACGAGTCGCAATGTACAGGACGACATCCTGCAGTCATTGGCCAAAAATGGCGGCCTGGTGATGGTGAATTTCTATTCGAAATTTCTGTCGTGCAGCGATAACTCAACCGTGCATGACGCAGTCGGTAAGTTGATGATTTTCGAGGCAATTGCAAACAAGTATTTAACACATTTTCTAGTTCCTAGTCTCTTGCTTGTATGTCCTCCTAGTTCTTTTATGTTTGCCAGCAACACACCACACCATGATTTAATAGCAACAAATAATTATATTTAGTAAAATAGTACTATCCACAAGAACGGACACATAATACTAGTACTGTTACTAGTACTGATAGTACTAAGTACTAGTAGCTTTTCTACTTGTTAAAATTGTTTAAATTGTTTGTTTATTTGGAACTAGTTCTCCCGCTTACCCCAAAAAAGTAGTCTTTAGCTTTTTTTACTTGTTATAATTTGTTGAAATATTTTTTTTTAATTTACACCTACCCCAAAAAAGTAGTAGTCTTTAGCTTTTTTTACTTGTTATAATTTGTTGAAATATTTTTTTAAATTTTATTTGAACTAGTTCAAATTATTTAAACAATTTTAACAAGTAAAAAAGCTACTAGTACTGGTACTAGTACTGATAGTACAAAGTACTAGTAAATAGTAAAAGTACTATAATTTGTTGAAATATTTTTTTAAATTTTCTTTGAACTAGTTCAAATTACTGGTACTAGTACTGATAGTACAAAGTACTAGTAAATATTAAAAGTACTATAATTTGTTGAGATATTTTTTAAATTTTCTTTGAACTACTAGTACTGGTACTAGTACTGATAGCACAAAGTACTAGTAGGCAGTACATTGTTACAACAAAGTACTAGAACTAGTTCAAATTATTTAAACAATAGTACTTTGTTACTAGTATTGAAATGGTACCAGTACTAGTACTGGTACTAGTCAAAGGTCAAAGTACTAGTAAATAATTAGCTGAAATTTTTTTTTAATTTTCTTTGAACTAGTTAAAATTATTTAAACAATTTTAGTAGCACTGGTACTGATAGCACAAAGTACTAGTAAATATTAAAAGTACTATAATTTGTTGAGATATTTTTTTAAATTTTCTTTGAAGTACTGGTACTAGTACTGATAGTACAAAGTACTAGTAGCTCCAGTACATTGTTACAACAAAGTACTAGAACTAGTTCAAATTATTTAAACAATTTTTTGTGGAGAGTACAGGCTTTTTAACTAAACATAATTATTTAGTACTATTTTAGTTCGGAATTCTAAGAATTAGTAATAGTAATAGAAATTTCCAAAATATATTTTAGTACTGATAGTACAAAGTACTAGTAAATAGTAAAAGTACTATTTGTTGAAATATCAAATTACTTAAACAATTTTAACAAGTAAAAAAGATATTAGTACTGGTACTAGTACTGATAGTACAAAGTACTAGTAAATAATTTGCTGAAATATTTTTTTTAATTTTCTTTGAACTAGTTCAAATTATTTAAACAATTTTAACAAGTAAAAAGCTACTAGTACTGGTACTAGTACTGATTGTACAAAGTGCTAGTAAATAGTAAAAGTACTATAATTTGTTGAAATATTTTTTTTAATTTTCTTTGAACTAGTTCAAATTATTTAAACAAAACTAAATATAATTTAGTACTATTTTAGTTCTAAGAATTAGTAATAGTAATAGAAATTTCCAAAATATATTTTATTTTTTCCGCCCTATGGGGGGAATTGGAATATTTTTTTATTTGGAATTTCCCTCCCTCCCCCGCTGTGTTTTATTTTTTGCTTTCCCCCTACTTATCCCATATGGAAATTTGAACATTTTTGTAAAAGTAGTACAAAGTAGTAGTCTTTAGCTTTTTACAAACTTGCACAGTACACACATATCGCATAATAGTAGTATGCGATAATAATACAAGTACTATGCGATAATAGTAAAAATATTCCAATTTAAAGCCTACTACTTAGTATGTGAGTAGCTTATTACTAGGGAACGAGTTGATAGGCTAAAAGCATATTTAAATCTGCTTGAAGGTGTACTTTAATTAGCAAATTAATTGCTCCCTAACAACGCTCATACTTATTAGAGATTGCACTCATAATTTCCCCTCTTAGCATTTCATGTTCGTCCCCCTCCAAGCCACAAAGAAATCTCAGTTATATCACACAACTGCTATAATACTACAAAAATCAATCAAAGCCCCCTCTCCTCCGCCATTCGGGCTTGTGGTCTTGATTTCAGTCTATTGTTGCAGGCCGCTTCATTATTGTCTGTCTGTCTATCCGACTATCTGTCTGTCTGTCTGTCTGTCTGTCTGTCTTTTGATTTCTTTGACGTGCCGTTTTTGTTTTTGCGCTTTTTTGTTTCAGGCGCGTCAAAATGGCGCACGTAATCACTTCCTGTGTTTTGTTATACACAATTGTCAGTTGCCTCCTGTAGTCTACGAGTATAGCCTGTAAACTGTAGTCTGTCGTCTGTATTTGACTTTATTGTGCACTTGTCTCTAATTCCATGTGATTCTCTTCTATCTACTCTCTGTCTCGCAATCTCTCCCCGCAATATCTGCTCTGAATGCCATTGTCTGCCTGGACACATTTCAAATTCGCCAAATTTTAATAATGGCGGCTTATGGCGACAACAACTACAACAACAATGCGACCGCGCACTTAACAATGGCATTTAATGAACTTGGCAACAACAACAACAACTACCTCGACGCCGATGCTGGCGATGGCGATGGTGATGGCGATGGCGCTGGAAACTATGGCGATGTTGCTTCTGATATCCCGCTGCTTGACTCCGGACCTTGCTGGACAATCCCCCAACCTATCCATCGTTCACACACAAACACACACAAACACACACAAACACACACACATACACACACAGCACATATTAATCACATTAAGCGTGTCGCTGGCATCGATCACGTTGGTCTCGGCGCTGGCTATGACGGCATTAATTAGTAAGTAAAAGTCATTTATTTCACTTAAATACTTATTTTCAGCGACCACATGCACGAACCGACAGGACAGACTCCCATCCGAGCAGGTACCGCTCTTGTCGCTGCTGCTGTTTTTGTTGTTGGTCTTCTACGTATTTTTTAAGTTATTAATTGATTCTATTTAAGTCGTTGGGCTTAACATTGGCATATTGTGCGACGTGCCACATAAAGATGCCACGTTCGGCCAGTGCCTCATTAAGTGACAGTATTTATAGTTATCGATTTTGCAATGCTACTTACTTGAGTGACATTATCGGGCGCGATAAATTAAGGATGAACTTAATGTTGCAAATTCAAAGAGGAAGTGCCACATCTTCGTTTTCATATTTTGCTCTAGAGAGAGATTGGTGGAAATTGGCGAAACCTAATGAGCTTTGGTAGCTATGGGTATGGTAGTGGAGTCTTTAAAGTTATTTTTCATTTTGAAGACCAAAGCAGAGGTGCTAATAAATGATCAAAAACAAACACAAGGGCAGTCCGAAATGTTCCTAAATATTTAAATATATATTTAACCAATAATATAGCAAGTTGAAAGCAAAGTCAATAAAATGAAGAAATAAGATAATATTAAGTGCCACCTTCTGGTTCTCCTTTTAGTTGGAAATGTTTGAATAAATTAAATTAAGGAGCAATCAAAACGTCAAATCAAGCAACATAAAACAAATGAATTTTTTTGTTTTTTTTTCATATTTAAGGCAGCCACATTTTATCTAGCTTTATATTGCAGACTAAAATGCAGAACTTTTTGAATTGTTTTAAAATAACAAATGTTTATTGGCTTTAGAAATGTTTTATGTAAAAGCAACTAATGGAGGTATTTTAAATAGCTTATACTTTAGTAGAATAATAGAATATAAGATGCATATTTAAACATTTTTATTAATCATTATGAAGGCTTACTCTTCTTAAACGATTATGTAAATTAGCTTTACATCAACAATTTTTAATTATATACATATAATACTTAGATTGAAATAGATTAGAAGAATAATTCGCTTAAGCTGACCAATATCCGTTATTTGAATTAAGTGAAGAGAGAAAAGTGTCAATTTCTCAATCTATATCTCACACTTAAATAGCTTATATTAGTGATTACCCCTTGATATAGCGCCTTAAAGGAATAATCGCGCTGCTAAGCATAATTCTGCACCTGCGTCTCATTTTTAGCAAAATCTTTATTGTTCGATCTGCACAATATACCTATAAAGCTAGCACAGATTCTTCAAATCCAGCAATATCTTGTCATCTGATAACTTAGAGCTTCAATTTCATATTCGGAAGATGTATGCCAACAAGAAATAGTCAATATTTGCAGGAATTTATCGTACAACTTAATTCATGTACCCTGCATGTATTTACAAACATTAGGGCTGTGATCAATAAAAATGCCTCCGTCGAGAGATATCGAGAGAGAGAGAGAGAGAGAGAGAGCTTTGTAGTGATTCGAATGGGCTGTCATCATCTATTATCTACAATAGTGGTGTGTGCTTGATGATGGATGTTCGGCAAACACACGAATCCCAATTAAATGCATGATGCATGTATAACTTTCAACACATACGAGGACGAGTGCGAGTACGAGAATAACTGGCAGTTTTTGGGCGAACCGAATTGAACAGCTAAGCCAATTTGTTTTTACAAGGCAGCAATACAAACATTCAGCAACTGCAACTGCAGCCTCATTTCATTTGGGGGGAGCGCGAAAATAAAACACACATTGCATTTGCATAGATTTCCGTTTGAATGGCCGCATCGCACGCAAGGCAAACAAGCAAATATCATGCTCGAAATTTGATAAAGCGCGGCGACAAGCCACGCCCCTCACCTCCATGCCGCCCACCCGAGCTGGCTAAAGCCTACAGCCAGCTACCAGAGTTTTTGCTGTGTCGACGGCCACCCTGCGTGTTTTTCAATTAAATATTTTTACTACAAGCAAGCCACAGAGACAGACACACAACTATTTTCTCGGTACATGCATATGAAAATTTTCAACAACAATTTTCATGTAAATCAATTTCCAACGAAATGAACTTCATTTGACTGGTTTGCCAGCACAAACGAGGAGCAGAAAAACAAAATAATATTATACAACAACATCGTTCATATGAATATTTATAGGCTGATTCCAAAGGGAGTACAACAATTTCCACGACCAGGACAAACACAATAAATAATCTAAAATTCTATGAAATTACAAAATGTCAAATGGCCGTGTTCCGGTCGCCCACAAAATTGCAGCTTCGGATTTTCAACAGAACTGCAAAAACATAACATGCCGCTTACTACAACAACAACAACAACAACAACAAGAAAAATACTATACTACTACTACTGAACATTGTGAGCGCATGTTTGCTATTTTTATTGCATTTGTTGGTATTTTTGCGGTCCATCAATGACACCTGCCACCATGTTCAATGTTATTCTAATTCGTATAAATATTTTAAATGCCATTTTTGTGTCTCCCTCTCTCTCCGCACATTTGTTTAATTTAATTACCATTAGTCTTCAATTATTCAGAGCTGAGAAAAAAACGAACCTTTTTGTCCAAAATTTAATGAATTTAAAGTGCAATTTATGACCGCAAAACGAATGCAATTAATTTGAACAAACAATTCTAATTTGCAAAATGCTCGGCTCCACATCAAGCAAATATTTTCGCATTGCTATTGCTGCAAATTATCGAAAAATTATACATACAGGGTTTTTATTAACGCTTACACGGAAAGTAGTGGAAGCTTAGCAATATCTACAACATTACCAATTAGGTGTCTGCCAGAAAAACTAGACTGGTCTGGCTTTGTCTAGATATTGCCATAATAGAATATCTGACGAAGACACAGCTAGGCTGCATCTGAATTCAGAAATCGGATGATGCGTGAAGTTCTCTTTGAGATATTCTCCTTAAATGATCAATTAATTGAAACTCTAGAATTTCATTTGATGAAAAATTCGGATATTCATTATTGGATTTCGAATTTTGCAGAACTGCTTCTTCTAATCAGTCAGTCGTGCTATATTATATTATATTTATAAATATGTGTTATATTTTATAATGCCTTATACTTATAAGGATATATAGTAGATTGAAAGATTGACGCCACGAATGAATAATCAAGCCTGTTCCCAGAACTTTTTAATGTCCCTTATCTCTGCAAAATGATGAAGCTCTTCGATTTATAAACTGACTTTTCGAATAATCCAACCCAAATATTGAGATTACTAGATTTTAAAAAATGACCAAGCTTTACTTTTACGCTTACTATCACAATATTAAGTCTGATATGCAACTTTAATATAAGATTTTACTTTGATCAACTGTTGAAGAATGTGTTTGTCACACAATCTTTTTTCCCATTATTTAACACTAACCATGCTCTTTAGTTGCGAATAAACTACTGCTCGATTGATTCTATTTACTTAATTGACCGATGTTTCCATATTAAAGAACCCCTGCCACTTCAACTAAAACTAAAATTCTTCAAATTGAAGCATCCTATGCTTTCAACTGTTCAGCTTAGGATATTAATAAAGCCGGGCTAATAGCCTATTATCTAACTTTGCAACATGACTTTCTATCTAACTACTTATGTATATCCCCACATCTTAATGTGATTTACTATTTGATTTCAAATAGGTGCACAGACTGACCAACCGAAATGAAGATGAAGACACAATCTGTGGCAAAGTTATAGCTTGTGGACAACAATTTTCAATTATATCAGCCACCCTGTCTATACCTATATGTACATACTCGTATACACTAATGTGTTCTTGTATGAATATGTATGGGAAAATGCAAATTCTAAGAGCAACCAACCACAGAGCAAAACAATAACATTGGGCACAGAATCACAGAATCAGAAATGACAAAGCCAACACTAAACCATTGCTTAATCAAATGACAGAAATTGTTGATGTTGCTGTAGCTTGTTGTTGTTCTAAGTGGGCTTCTAGAACAAACTTAAAACGTTGCTCGTTCTCATGAATTATTTCTTAGGTCCGGTGGCTAAACGCTGCATAGAAAAGTAAACTATTATTTATTTGTACAAATGTCTGTACATAAAATATGATAGCATGAACAGTTCGGAACTCAAAAACAAAACTACACTGCTTTCAAAAGAAGTGGCAAAGATAAATTGTTGACGATAATAAACAAGAAAGTATAGCCAATGGGATGAAAAAGAAGTACACTTCAGCTATCGCAAACAAAATTATGAATCATACAAATTTTTCGAAGCTTTGAATATAGAAATAATTGCTCGAATTAATTTTTAAAATTACAATTTAAATAGAAAATAAGATTTTAGTTTTATTTCGGCACTAAAAACTTTCCAGAAAATATTACACATTTATCTTATAATTTATGTATTTATTAATTTCAAATTTATTTAAAAAGAATAAAAACTTTTCAAAAAATATTCCACATTTATCTTATCATTTATTTATTCATTTCAAATTTATTTTATCTCTTGCAACGCAATCTCTAATTGCATTTCTAATATTCGTTATACTTACCTCTACAAGAAATATACAGAAACTTCTTTCTCCTGGTTGCCTACTTTTGTGCGTCAGTGTAACTAAATACGCAAACATTTATTATTTATTTGTGCTCCTTTGTTTTATTTATTATTTATTTGTTTTGGTTGGCTTTTTCGGTTTTAATGTTAGTGCTGCGCATTGTATTTATGTCTTATATTGCCACTCAGTGGCATATTACGCATACGACCTGTGTGTAGAGCATATGCCTGCTGTGCCCAGTTCATTGGCATGACCAGCACGTTTTAGACCGTATGGAGCGAATGGCAGTGGTGCTTTATTTAATTTACTTTTTACGACACATTTTAAAATGTCATTTTCATGGCAACCAACCTGAATTAAATTGTGCATAAATATTTGAAATATTTATGTACCTTTTCTGACCATTTTGTGGCGTGCCGTTATCTACAGCCGTGCACAGCTGATTGCACACCTTGTCTGCCGCCTGCCTGCCTGCCTGCCTTCCTGCCTGCCTTGTCCTGCATCCGGCAGCTCGTTCCAACTCAAATTTGACACACGTGCCTCGTCAATGTCAGGCGAAATAGAAAAGCAAAGGGCGCTCAGCATTTCCAATTGATTTAACAAAATGATTGGTGTACCAACACCAATAGACAATCAACAACAACAATACATAGAAACAACTGTTTATCAAAACGGAAATTTTGCAAAATATTTTTGAATGCTATCAGTTCCACTATTTTACTTGAATGACTTTTACATTCGTTTATATCGCTGATAACGTACATATGTTCAAAACAATACCGGAAGCTTTTTCGACATTTAAGGGATCGCTGCTTTGATAAATAAACAAAATGTCGCAAGAAGAAGAGCGTGGTAATGTTAATATCAGATAATGACAAAAACCTCCACGGAAGAATTCGAATAAAGGAAGGGAAGCTATCAACCATCAACTTATGTAAGAAATCTCGCAAGTTTCTAAAGCAACAACTTCCGAAGGTGTAGCATCGAAGTTCAGCAACTTCGTTCGCTGTGTCCTAAAGACCCTCTAAACATAACCCAGATTATTATAATCTCTCTGCGGAAACTACACTCCTGTGCATTTACTTTAAAAAAAAAAAAAAAAAACCATCCATTAACTGATAGATTTGAACTCTAAATCAAGCGGCTGCTCAGTGGACTGCAACCCACATATGTAGCTTCTGATATCAAATTCTAGTCTATCTAGGGTAAAAGGGTATACAAACGCGACAATATAACGGATTTTCATTTGAAGGATCCTGTAGCTGGAATAAATACATACATATAGTATATGTAGAGCAAAGAAATTGTATATCACAAGCAATTTATTCAACCTGACAAATAATCTAATTGTTATCCAATTGTCTTAACATCTACAGCACACCCAAAGGACTGGAGGATGTCTCCTCATATCCCACACTCTTTGCCGAGCTGCTCGGCGGCGGCTGGACTATTGATGAGCTCACCAAGCTGGCCGGTGGCAATTTTTTGCGCGTCATGCAGCAGGTGGAAAAACTACGCGATGATAAAAAGGCCGCCGGCGTCAAACCATATGAAGATCATCCCAATTTTCGCACAGACGATCCTTACAATTGTACTTCCAGCTAATTGAACTTAAGCCATTTACTAAGCGAGGTTGTACAGTAGGCCAAGACAGCTGGCTAGTTGGCAACGAATACATTTTGCTGCATAAAGAAAACCAAATACTTTCTAGTCGGTACAAGTATATTGAATTACATATATAAAGTTAAAGGTGTTAGATATGTAAGATGCCTAGCTTAGGTTTATATAAGCTTTAACTATAGCTAAAGACTATTTGGCTGATTTTCTAAGAGCTCATTTCTCTTTTTCCAAAACCCGTCGCACAAAATCTACGCGAATTTTGAGTTTAATGACAATCTACAGACTGCCCCAAAAATGAAAAACTAACCAGAACCCACGTAAATGATATTTTTTTAGTACATATGCATTGTTTTTGAAACCGCTTTACTCCAGCACCTTACTGTTGGGTCTGTTTTTTAACTAACTGCCAACTTGTTCTTTTTTTTTCAATCTTTTATCAACAAATTCGGACAAATTTGAAAGCAATTTGGAAATATACGACGATCGTTGGAGTACAAGTATAAAGTAAAGACCATACAAAATGTTCTGTTAATAAAAAGCAGAAATGTTGACCTTCTTAGCCAACTTTCACATTATCCGGAAACGATGTGTATACTTGGTAGAGATTCATTAATGACTTTACAATGATATGGATGTGATGACAGATTTTCAAAGAGAAAACCGACTTGGCTGATTTCTAGAAACGCAGGCTCGTAGCAGGCTCTCGTAGCTGTGCTTATTTCAATTGTTCTTAATTTCGCATTCTCCTGAAAATAATGAGCTCAAATAAATCTTAAGAAATGTGAAAGTTAAATTGAAGTAAAGCCGAAATTAAGTCTTAAAAATTGGTTGTCATAAATGAGAAAATATCCCGATGATGGTTAGGAAAGAAACAGAGCCCAAGCAAGATTCTCCAACTATCCCAACCAAACAATAAACCGCTCACGATTCTTTACACAAAATTTATATAAACTGGACCAAAGCAGCTGCAGCAACAATAGAGAAAATACGAATATACACTAAAATAGAAATCGTTCACACTTCACCGGAATAATTTTGTTTATTTTGTGTATCATGAGAACTACATATCAAGTACTTATGTAATAAAAAATAAAATGAAATTAAATTGAATAATTTTCTTGCATTGCAATGCATGCAGATATATAAACAAGCAGTGGGAAAGCATACACTTAAATTAAAGTTTAATAAAATACACTACATATATACATACAAGTATATGGATATAGCGATGAATAATAGTTTACATACAAGTATATATGTATTTAGACAAGGCATTTCTTAAAGATTTTGTTACAAACTGAAAGCAGTTGAGGAAAGAACTTGTAAAAATTCTCAAAGAAAACAAAATTGAAAGAATAAATAGCGTAAAAAACACTAAATTAGTGCGTAAGACAAGTGGGCGCGGCATATGTGAAGGCATCTCGAAAGATAGTCGAATTCGTCAGTTTCCTTTTATTTCTTAGCATTTACAATTCATTTGCCAGCTGTAACAGCTCTTAGTTCTAACACTATCTTTTAATTTTCCCTTTGTTTGTTACATTTTATTTCTGTAGCAAAATTTGAAGCATCTTTTGAGTCTCCCGTGTCGCCGAAGTGCCAGCCCCACAAGTATTGTAAATAGCATTAGTAGGCAGTTCGTTAAAACCAGCAATAAGCTTAGAGTATATTTATAGAGGACACATTTCCACATCTAAAAACATCCACATCCTTTCCCACAACAATAAAACAATAAGTAAAGCAAACAAACACTCTGTCTTGTATCTCTGTACCTTCAGTCTAGCCTAAAGCTAAAACCAATTCAGCAAAAAAAAAAAAGAAATAAAGGAAGAAAGAAACTAGAGGAATGCGCATAGGATAAGTAAATGAATATACTTGAATAATACAACCTTAAATAAATTAATAAATAATTGTACATTTTCTATGACTAGCGGCAACAAGAACTATTGTTACAATTTTTTATGGCATATTTTATACGATTTTGTATATGTATGTATATAGAATTTTTACCTACACACCGTACACGTTTGTGCTCTAATTTAATGCATATAGTTTTCTAGCAAATTATTGAATACAAATAATTAAATACAGATAATTGTTAGTCACACAGTTTTAGGGTTAATGTTCGCCTGCAAGGCAGAACATAAAATATCTGTAACGTTTATAGAACTTCAAGTGAAATATACACAGAAATAAAAACAAAAACAAAAATTTATAAGTCATTACATTCTCATCATTGATTTGTATTCCTGTTTGTTCTTGATGGAAATCATTAAGAAAATAATTGCATATGTAAAACAAATTTGTAGTTAAAACTTGAAAATGGTAAAATGTTTAGCAAATAAATTTCAATAAAACGACAAAGAAATGCAGTAAATAAAAACAAATAAATGAAACAATACTGCAGCTTTTGAATTTTTATAGACAATAGGAAAAGAAGGCAGCATTGAAACCTGCAGCTTAAAAGCTTAAAGGCGTTCATTTGCAGGACCAAAAAGGGTCAACAACTTGCTGGATTACCTACGGATTCTGCCATTCTAAAAGTTTCCATACCTACTTCTTTAGCATGAACTGTGGGAAGGGCGCATTCACTTTTGGTACTAACCGATCCTTGTTCCTTGCACAAAGCTGTAAAACAATTTGTAATGTGCCTGAATAAGACAAATATTGTTTTGGTGGCACAGTAATTATCAATTACGTCCAACTGCCTGATGTAATGGTTTGGAAATTGAATACAATTTGGCGTCTGGCAGCACTAGACATTAGAACTTGCCAGCTGGTTTGAGGCTTGGCTAAGAATTCAACGCACATAGCTGGTGCATTTGAAACGTTCGAACAGTGAACATTAAAAAGGTTTGTGCAACAATTTTTGAAACATTAGTTTCCGTTCATTGGCAATTTCTTAAGCCTTTGTAAGTAGAGTCAGATATCCGGCATCATTGAAATCATTTAAAACGACATTTAGCATATTAAATCCAGTATACTTTCTGCTAGTTGGCAGCACTAATAAACTAGCTGGAAGCACCTACAAGCACGACAAATATTTGGCGAAGTGGCAACACTAACGTATTAGTATTTATTGCTTTAACAACTTCTTGCCTTTCCGTCCGCAAGTTTTGGGATTATAATTAGAAACAAACTGTTATATAAAATTAGCAGCAAAATAAATTCAAGCCATGAAAGTATATGTTTAAAGACTTTTCGTATTTTTCACACTTAAAATGCGGTCACACTAATTTTTTTTGTAACAGCTGCTCACACACTCCGACGGACTCAACAGAAAAATAAAAACAAATAATACTATTTGGAAATATTAACAGCCGGTGGATGTGTGGCGGCATTAGGCCGCATCTGTCGCCGCATCGCCGTAACGGATGGCGTCCGACGTCGCGGCTCTGGCCTTGCTGTTGGAACCGCCGCCCCCTGGAACCACTCTCAATGACAAGGACGCGAGCCATATTTGCCGACGTTCAGCCAGCGATCTGAGCTACAACGACTTCTACTGGCAATATATGCACAACAATTGGCCAGTTATCATAACCGATGTGTCCAATAACTGGGAGTGTCGGAACTGGATCAGGAGTGGGTCTGCGACGCCCGACGACAAGGACGATGAGGCGAATGCGAATATAAATACTGCCCACACGAACATCAACTTTGACTACCTCAAGAGCCGGATTGGCGACTGTTTGGTGCCTGTTGCCGATTGCAATGCAAAGTATTTCAATAGCCACGCCAAAATAGAGCTCAGGTTTTATGACTTTCTGGCACGCTGGCGACGGAGCATGCTGCAGAAGGAACATGAACAGGAGTTGAACAGCAACGTGATTGAGAAGGCAATGGCGTTGAATAATCTCTACCTCAAGGACTGGCATCTGGCGGCGCAGTTGCCCGCATACGAGTTCTATAGTGTGCCTAAATATTTTGCCTCCGACTGGTTGAATGAGCAGCTTGTGGCTTTGAAGAGGGACGACTATCGCTTTGTATACATGGGTCCCAGGAATTCCTGGTAAGCGCAACACATATACGAACTATATAAGAAGCGTAGAAGATTTACATTTTGCATTTCTGCAGGACCTCCTATCACGCCGACGTCTTCGGTTCGTACAGCTGGTCCACCAACATTGTGGGCAGGAAGAAGTGGCTGATCATGCCGCCCGGTGAGGAGACCAAGCTGGCCGATCGTTTGGGCAATTTACCCTTCAAGATTGACGAAGAATTGCTAGCGGAACAAAAAGTTCGCTTCTTTACCATCAACCAGTCGGCGAATGAGGCCGTATTTGTGCCCAGCGGTTGGTTCCATCAGGTGTGGAACGAGACGGACACCATATCAGTGAACCACAACTGGTTCAATGCCTGCAACGTGCCACTCGTGTGGCGCAACCTACAAACGAATATGCAGGCGGTGCGTAAGGAAATCGCTGACTGTAGTCAAATGGAAAACTTTGAGGCGCACTGCCAGACCATGTTGAGAGCCAGTTTTGGCATAAACTACCTCGATTTTATAGATCTTTTGGAATTCATAGCAGCCAGACGTCTAACGGCCCTCGAACACTTCACGATGGGAAACAAGAACAGCCTATTACTTTTTGATAGATATACAATGAACGAATATCATCTGCGCTATGATCTCGCGCGTCTGCGCCAACTGCTCGGCCACATCCTGGAGGATGAAACTGTGCGTCGAAGCACCAGTTCGGAGCTTTATAATCGTTGTGAGAGTCTGTTGCAGCGGCTCAAGCAATGCCCCGATATGGCATTGCCTGCTGAAATCTAAGATATTTTTATACCATTGTATTCATATACAATACAAAATATTTTAATAAGATTTTAAGCAAGTTTATAGACCATATTTGTATACACACATACTACAAGTATATATAGAAATCCGTACAATAAAGAGTTAATCATGAGAATTTATTCGCCATCTGGCCAACTAAAGTTCCCCGCAACAGGCAGAGTTCTTAGCCAATGGCAATGATCAATGACCTGGAATCCCAACTTGTCAAACATGCTACACGATGGGTTATTTTCTGGATTAACCAGCGCCATAACATCCTGCTTCAAACCTGCTATTCGTAATGCCATAGCCGTGGCTACCAAGCTGCCAAAGCCGCGACGCTTGTGTGTATTTCTCACTTGAAGTGCCCCCAAATAGCCACCCTGCAATCTTTAAAGGCATTACAGATTGAGTGGCAACTGAATGTCCGGGCACTTACCTTAGGCACCAGGCTACAAGCCGCTGTGTGCTCTCCTCATACAGGCCCACATTTACACACATTTTAATCTGACGTTTGACAAAATATAAAGATCCTTCATGCCGATTTGGCCAATCTGCATTAATAAGCGCAGCATCCTTGACTCGCAAGCTTCGCAGTACAAAGCCACTCGGCACGCTAGGAAAAAATATGATGAGTTATTTATTTTTAACAGCTTTTTGGTGTAGCTTAAGATTTAATTATAAAGTTGATAGCTTATAGTACATTTTTCTTACGCAAATATACAGGAATCTGGAATATTCGTTCTATAAACACAAACAAAGAATTCAAATTGAAAAACTAAATATATCGTTTAAGTCCTATAGCAAATGATATTGCTTTCTGATATTTATAACTTCTATTAAATTCGATTCACTAAAAAAAACCATAGTTTTCTTTCAAATATGAAAATACTAAATCTGTTAAATCAAATTGTCCCTACAGTAGAGCCGAGCTTTTTTTGGCATAGGTCTAACGCTTTGGGAGTTATTCTTAATCCTATAATCAAAGCTGAATGCGACATACAGAATTGTTTAGTCTGTCAACATTATCGTATCAAAACTGATTGTAACTCTAATCTACCACATTACGATTATAATTCACGCGATTACTTACTTCAGTTCCATCTGCAGCGCCCTTGCTGCGGGCATAAAATAGAGCTTAGTAATATCATCGTATTCTACTTCCAAACATTTCTCCCTTACGACTCTCGATAGAGCATCATAATGTCGAGTGGGTATGGAACTGCATTTGAAGCCCATCGACCAATCCAATAGCTGCAGCACTCGTGCCACGCCTCCATTTGTGCTGTTCAAGCTGCCCACAAACAACTGATAGCGATCCTAAAGAGTAAATACTCGTTAATGGGAGATAGTATCTAAAATTTGCACAATTTACACACCACAAAGATAAAGAGACCATCAGATCGGTGCTCTGCGAGCGAATACGCCTTTAGATTCTTAATTTCTGGCTCAGCTACCAGAAAGCGTATAAAATTATCCAAACAGTAGAATTCAGCGCAATAAGTGGGCCAATCGCGTTTGTAGAGTTCTTGAAAGGCCTGCAGCTCGTCGAGACCGATGGAAATAAGTCGATGAGGCTCCGACATATGGAACTAACTGAACTGCTTGCCTTGAAGCTGCTCGAGGTACTGAAGCAAAGACCGCCTTTGTTGTGTAGGCAACTTTAAAGAGCTCTTTTGCTCTCTCTTTCAGAAATTGATAAGGCGGGTTTGTTCTCTTATCTTATAGATATGATCTTACAGATTTTACGTGTAGATTGCCACACACTAGAAATTACGATTTTCTGTCAAATCTTATTAGTTATCAGGCCAGTAGTTGCCCTTTATCTTGGGCAAGCTCATCGACCAATAGTAGTGCTCATCCGTTCTCAGCGTAAACCCCAACTTCTCAAACAATTTAGCAGCAGCTATATTGCTCAACGAAACTAAGGCTGTCACGTCTTGTTCCAATTCATTGGATATCCGTTTGGCCATAGCGCCGACCACTTCAGCACCCAATCCTTGCCGTTTATATCGCCCCTGAACCTCCAGTGCGCCCAAGAAGCCGCTTTGCAGTCTGTCCGAATAATATACATATTTCTAAAGCTTGTCTGATGGAAATTAATGGAACTACCTTAAGCACCAGGCGCACAGCTCTTTAGAGTCGTCCTTGTAAACTCCCACATTCGCATTATTTTTTATGAGCAGCTGTATGAGTTTCAGGGATCCGCGATGCCGTGATGACCAAAGCTCGTTAATAATTGCAGCATGCTCCAATCGCAGGGGCTGCACAAAGTAACCATCGGGACAGCTACAAATATAACGAGGGTGTTCTGAAGGAAATAAATATTTGGAGATTCTTCCTATTCACCTCATATCCAGCGCCTTAGCCTTTTTACAATCCAGGTGATACATAATCGTCTTTTGTTCCTGTTCAAAGCTCAGACCAAGAGTGCTCAGAATGTGTTTATATAACAAGTGATGGCTCTCATATATGGAACTGACTTTATAGCCTCTGGACCAGTCCAGCAGTTCGAGTGCCATCTGCAACTCCTGTGTGCCGCATTGACTTAGATTGGCAAAGAAGAGTTGATAACGATGCTGCAAGAGTTGATAATTATAAAAATGATCTTGTTCTGTCTATCGTTACTCACGACTATAAGAAAGAGTCCATCGGTTCGCCAATCTTCGTCCAGTGTATAGAATGCTATCTGCTTCTCATCCTTTTCCAGCCAACGCAAAAAGTTGTCCAGCCAGAAATAGCCAACACAGTGCCTGGGCCAGTCTTTGCGGTAAAGCTTCTGTAGTTCTTTTAACTCTTTGGTGTCTGTTATGGCAGTCAGCTTGTGATTTATTTTCGAGCACATTCCGTAGCTGATAAGTTTTATTATATTTAGGATTTAAAAAGACTAATATGTACTGGCTTTTCAATAGTGTTGACGACGGCAGTGCAATGTTTTTAAATAAAACAGCTGATTTCAAAGCGCCAGTTGTGCTCTTAATTCACTTCTCTTCGTTCTGCCCACCTGTTGGCTTATAAATATTAACGTTATACTTTTCAACTTTTTGTCGCAGTAATTGTTTATCTATAACAAACGTCTTTACAATAAACATAAAACACAATTGCATGCTTTGCGAAGAAAATAACATCTTAAGTTGAAATAAAAAAAAGTGTGACCTATCGTTTTTGCGCAAGTGGACAGCTCCAAAGAACCAACTCTACAGTCAAATTGTCGCTAGGTGGCGCGACGAACTTTTTAATTGAAAACCTACCGTTCCGTGTGCCGGTAGAAGAAATTTAAATTTAAAATTAAGTAGAAGAATTTTAAAAATCTATTTGCTGATATTTATGTATATAGCAGTACAACAAACTTTCAATTTCAATCTGTTTGTCATTCTTAAGTGTTTTTTAAATATTGTTGCAGCTAAGATATTTAAAATATAGAAAATTATAGTCCCGTAAAATTTTTGAATAGTGAAACGCCATTTCTATTGCTACCAATCCCTCTAATTCCTCCCCAATCGATTCCAAATGACGTGATCCTCTGTTCTTAGTAATTTGAAAAAAACTTGTAACTTTTTATTAAACAGTGGGCGTTTTGCTTGCTTTTGATTTACATACAAGTACAACGTTGCTCGTGCCTCATCTTATACGAGTATAGGTCTATATACAGATACAAGTTACCGATGCTAGTTAAACGTATTCAATATGCCAATCGTTTATAGTACAATTAAGATTTATACAATAGACATTACAAATATTTACAGCTACTTAGTTAAGGACAAAAATTAAACGAACTTCATCGTCTCTTCGTTTGCTTCTTCATATTTTTAGCACATCTATAATTTTTTAGGCTTCTCAAGTAGTTTGTTGTTGTTTCTCGTCTTTGTCCTTCGCTCGATAGGAAAAAACGTTTCGTAACAGGAATAGTTGGGGGAGGAGAGGACAAGCTGTTAGGTTAGGACTGCTGCGCCTGTGTAGTTATTGTTGTTGTTGTGGCTGTCGTTGTTGGAGTAGGATTGCAAAATAGTTTGGCGGCGAGTGTTTTCTTCAGCTCCTGTATGGGTTTGCTGTCCTCCTCCTCGTCGAGGGGCGTGGCAGCGCGCTCTTGCTGCAGCCGTCGCAGCTCCTGAGCGAGCGTCTCCGAGGACTCGGACTGAGTGGGCGTGTGCGAAGATGTGGGCGTGGACGAGCATGTCGAGGAGGCTGAAGAGCGAGGCGTGGTCGTGGCCAGCGCAACGCTGCTCGCGGGCAAAGGCAGTGACTGTTGGTGCTGTTGCTGTTGTTGTTGTTGCTGCTGCTGTTGCGTGACCTTTCCCATGAATGTGCGAATCTCCTCGAAGTAGGACTCCTCAGTGGGATTCTCGCAAAAGCGTCGGATGCAGTGCATTCGCTCGCTGACGCCACTGAGCGCACTCATCGAGACGGCATCGCTCTCGTGCTTCTTGAGATGCCTGTCCAGGTTCGTCTGCTGGCCGAAGCAGCGCTCGCAGATCTCGCACTTGAAGGGCCGCTCCTTGTTGTGGATGTTGCGCACATGGCGCTGCAGATTCGAGGATATGCTGAAGGAACGTTCGCAGTATTTGCATTTGTAGGGCTGCTCGCCAGTGTGGGTGCGCAGATGGCGCGTCAGGTTGGCGGAGCGTGGGAAGATTTTGCCACAGAACTTGCAGGTGTAGCGATCCTTGTTGCGATTCGGATTAGGATTGGTTGGCACGCCGCTGCCCCCGACATTGCTGATCCTTGGCTTGCCTTTGCGTGCATGTTGCCGCGTTTGGAACTGTTGCTGTTGTTGTTGTTGGTTCTGCTGCTGTTGTGGCTGGAGTTGGAGCTGGCTTTGAACCTGTGGCTGTGCTTGAGCCTGCGCCTGCTGTTGCTGTTGTTGTTGTTGTTGCTGCTGCGACGAGGGCGTCACATTGGCAGACAGTTCCAGCGTAAGTGCTTCGCTAGCTCCCGGCCAGGACAAATCGTTGGGCGACTGCGTAGTCGTCGGCGTCTTCTTCAGCGGATGACGAAACGCAAAATCCGCGGGCGTCGCAAACACATTGCGATATTGCAGCGGCAGCGTCTTCGTCATGGCCTCCAGCAGCGTGGAGTGCAGCGCAGGTGGCGGTGGCGGCGGAACTGCAGGCACCGCTGACACCACCTGAGGCGCTGCTGCTGCCACTGCCCCCGTTGGCGGCGTTGTTGTCGCCTTCGTGCCCTCCCGCAGGGCCCGCAACATCTTTCTGCTCATATCGAAGCCAATGTCCGCCAACGAGGCCGCTATATGATTGTTGTTCAGCTCCTTCTCCTGCTTCACGCCCAGCACATGGGCGGCTGCTGCTGCCGCCGCCGCTGCTGCGGCTGCCGCTTGTTGTTGCTGCGCCGCCAACTCGTTGGCGAACATAATGAGATTGCTGTTCTCATCCTCCAGCAGCGCCTCGCCAGCCTCGTGCCGCTTGTGCGCCAGTCGCAGGTCCAGGGGCTGATCGTAGCTGCAACTGCGCCGCTTCGCCTTCTCATAGAGCTTGCCATACTGCTGCTGATGGTGGCGAGCTGTGGTGCTGGCCGTGGTGGTGCTGGTTGTTGCGGCTGTGGCCGATGTGCTTAGCGCGATATTCGAGGCAGCGGACAGATCGTAAGGTACATGTGATATATACGATGTGGGTATTAATCCTAAGGCAGGGTATACGCAGCCCTGTTTTGGGCTAGGAAGCATCTTTCTTGGTGAGTGGTCTTTCTCTCTCATAACTGATTGTTTGCGCTCTTATTGTAGTTGCTCTTGTTCCGTTCTCTATAGTTCTGATTGATAGCTGTTGCTTTTTATTTCTCCAGCTCTCTTCGCTTTCCGTAGTTTCCACAATTCAATGAATTTATGTACCTGCAATGAAAATGAAAAGTGAAGACTATGGTTTAGTACGCAATTGTGTTGAAATCTTACGCAAAGCTAACGCTTTTTGAAAAGCTAACAAATAAAATGTCGCAGTGTTCAACTACTTTGAAACTAAAGAAATGGCGTACTATATGGGATTACAACATTTCTCCCTCCGAAGAGTTATCATAATCGTATAATATATCTTAGCGAAAATCTCAGGAGTTTCGACTAATCCAACCTATCTATAGATATTATCCACACATAATTGTTCGTCATACTAAAAATTAATGTATATCTATAGATATAAGCCACAAACTATTATTCGTAATAAATTCAATAGTTATGTTGGATTTGAAAGAAAATGCAGACAAATAGAATAAGATTCCTGAAACTTATATTCATACTTAATAGAATCATTTTAAGAACATAGTAGAGAAATATAATATATATAAGGAAGTCCTTTATTAATTAATTCTAATCAAAAGCAGACAGATTAAATGCTTTTTTGATCGAAGAATACCGTCATTAGGGAATCATTGACACTGCATAATAATTTAATGTGTGGAAAAAGTTAGCAGAGGAGCTAGAGGGGTGAGAGTTTCTTTTTATTTAGAATTATTATTTTTTCATTTTAATTTATTTTCATTTCATTTATTTAAATAAATTGGCTCATAAATTTGTGTGTTTCTATAATTAGTTTATAAAATCTTATCTACTTAATATTTGCACCAGTAAATATTATTAATTCTTTCATAATATTAATGTGATTTAAAGGAGTTACTTTTTTATTTAGATAAGAGATGAAGACAAATAATATTGTTAAATATTTTTGTAATTTTTATAGACTTTTTTCTTTAGTTTTAAGTTCAATTTTTTGCTTTCTCTTTTACACCGACAGGTCTAATTGTCGATGAAATAATGAAATAAATCATTTCTAATGCGTTCTTTAAGAATTATTGATCTGCTCGTTGAAATTTGGTGTTTTTCGCTGCACACTTAGGCAGACGAGTCATCAGATTCCAACCTGATCCTATCCATGTACTTCCCCTCTTCAGACTCCGAGCCCGAAAAACAAAAAACTAACTCATCTAGCGCATCCATAATTATTATGACGCTGTTATTGACGTCATGTGAGGGACATTCCCTTATTGCCAAACAATATAATAGTTATTGTTTGCATTCTTGAATAGATATATTTTTGGTATGTCTGAGTTTGTACAGACATCTGTACATATGTACGGATCATATTGTGCCTATTATAGCGATCGCTTTGTAAACTTCAATTTTTCCATAACATATGTAGCATCTTTCATTTGGTCATGTCTTCCGTTCTGTTCTGTTTTCGTCGGCTTTTCGGCCCAATGCCAAAAGCGACGGCGTTGTCTAAAGTTTAAACAATTGTTCTATTGTGTATTATTTTAGGACACAAGCAGCGACAACAACAGCGGCAGCCTAAAACTGTTAACGGTAACTAGAGTGACGATTATGTAAGACAAACAGACGGCAGCAACTAAAATAAAAAAAGACACAGACACACAGACAGCCATCTAAGCTAACAAACAAACATGCATAACAGTAAGTAGTACATAGATGGGTATATACTATATAGTATGTATGTACGTGTGTAGTTATGGCAACTGTTAGGCCCGCTTTATGGCTCTGGGACTACGGCTGCCACTCAGGTGGAGGTCGTCCGATGTGCGTTAAAAGCCAAACTTTGTGCTGCGTAGGTGGCTCGGGTCGAGACTCTGACTCTGACTCTCTGGGCTGCTGTTCTTCAGCAGATGGCAGCAGATGGAACGGCATGTCATGTGAACTACTAAGTACAACAAAGTAAAGTATTTGCCAACTGTTGCTGCAACAACAACAACAACAACAACAACAGCAGCAGCACCAACAACTCCCAACAACAAACACCAAGACAGTCGCCTCTGAAGTGGGCGACTTGATGTATGCGATTTGCTTTCTAGAACAGAATTTTTCACGAGACATTTTCCGTTGCCCCTGCAATTACGAGCGGCTTTGACAAACGCACAACACATTTAGCGAGAAATTGCAACAACTACAACAACAACAGCACTAATAACAACAAAGCAACAAATTGCCTTTTGTGTGGGCTGCCGCTGCTTTTGGCCAAAAAGTAAATTAGCCGCATTAGCAGCTCTGAATTAATGTTTTGCGATATTTTGTCAGAATTGTTGAGAATGCGAGCTGGGTTCGTGTCGGTGTTGGTGCTTGCGAACTTTTATGGGCTACTGTTCTGCTGCCAGAGAGACGCTTAAGCTTAACAGGTTTTGTATAGCGTTAAGTCTTTGGTTAGGTGTTCTTTCGAAAGAGCAACAACAACTTTAAAGTTGATTAATTGTTGAAAAAACCATGCAGTTATATTTGAGAAATAATGGTATTACTTGTATATAATTATTTAATTTCATTTGCCTTTAATAAGTTTCTTAGTTTTAAAATCTTTATACTACCTTTATGTCAAGTGGCAATGCATTGTTCAAATCTCCTCCGCCACCCACGTATCGATAATTGGCTACACTTAACAGATTTAAATAGATTTATAGTTGGTGTTTAAGGAGGAAACTTTTTTCAAATAAATCCTTAACCATCTTGGAGGCCAACATTTCTTCTTAAGCAGAATTCGCAAGTCTTCTCTGTACACAGAAACAATATTTTGATTGCTTGAGAATTTCAAAAGACAGGAGAAACACATTTTGAAATACCTTTAAAGACGTTTGTAGACAGCATTACTAATTAAATTAACATTTATTTAATCAGAAATGATGATTTGTATTAAATGGGTGTTAGTTTTCTAGATCCTCATATACATTAGAATAATATTTTTCTTGTCTGCTTACATTTTTTTCTTACGAACTCAAAACTATTGAATTAGAGATGACAAGAGAAGATATATGAGTATCTATGAAAATAATTTATACGCAATCGTTTATATCTAGGCAGCTAGTTATTTAGGAATTTCCCTCGTAATGGTAACTAAATTTTCTCTAATTTGTTGTGATAAATAATTTAGAGTAGAGTTTTCTTTGCACTTGTGCCTCCAGCTTTCCCAGGCAAGTCACCTGCCAGCAAAATTTCGCAAGCAGGCAGCAACAACTTCCAGCCGATGTCGACTCATGTGTTTATAATTTGTTGCAAACGTGCAAAATGCTTGACAATTATAGCCAAGACATGCTGGACACTTTGGAGCAAAAGCTAAAGCCAAAACGGATGCCAAAAGAAGATGATGATGAACACAAAAAAAAAACCAATTAAAGAGCAACAAAGTTTTAGCGACCGACAACGAGAGCAATGAAGCAGTTCAAAAAATGGACGGTGAAGGTACAACAACAGCAACAACAACTACAACTATTACAACAACAAGCAGAGCAAAAAGAAAAATACAGCAGCGGCAGCAACAACAACAACATAGTCGCATGTTGCAAAGAAAAGTGAAATCAAAGTTGTAAAACCGCGAAAAACGCAGTCAGGCAGACAAACAGACAGAGACACATAACAGCAACAACAGCAACAACAAATGCGGCGACAACTAGTGGTAACAGACGCGCTCCAGATTGAAAATGTCCAGTGGAAGATGTTGACAACCGGCAACGTCAACGATGTTGCTATCTTAGGCAACAGAAACAGAAACAGCAACGGCAACAACAACATTAGCCATGAGGTGAGGTGGAAAGCGAATCTGTTGACAATTTTGTGCCTGGTCTGGCCTGGCCTGGCCCGGGCCTGCAAATTAACCTGATCATGTTTAAATGATTTTAATGCGACGCAATGCAAAACCCATCATCATCATTATCAGCAGCAGTGGCAGCAACAGCACCAGCAACAGCAAAAGCGGCAAACGTTGCAGCCACAGCCACAGCGGCAGCAAATTCATAATTATTAGTTGGTTAATTATAAAGGTAAGGCCTCCAGCTCTAGCGCCAGCACCAATATCCTCATCATCAGCACCATCATTAGCAGCAGCAGTCACAGCAGCCTTAGCAGCCTTAGCAGCAACAGCAACATCATTATAATCATTATAATCATTGGGTGCCACTTTGGTTTCGCCGAACGCCTGCCTGCCTGTCAACTGCTATCCCCCGTGTCTGCCCCAATGAGTGTCGCACGAGCATAATCAACCGCAACCAAAAGCAATGGAGCCATGCAGCCATGCAGCGATAGAGGAGACATCGGCAACAGAGTGGAGAAGCGAAGAGAGGAGAAGAGAAGAGACACACACAATGAAAAACGAGAGTAAAATCCAAAGCAGCAGAAATATGCCAGGCCGCGCACTGAAATGGAAAATTAAACCTTGTTACATCAGCCGAAAGCAAAATGCAACAAAAATAAAAACAAACAAGCCAGCAAGCAAGAGGCAACAACAACAACAACAACAACTGCAACAAATGACAAGCGTTGCAGCGACAAAAGTTTGTTGGCAGGATCAGTGCACAGCGACTTAGAGACTCATTCACTCACATACGAGTATGGGCAACACGCACACTCTCACTGCCGTAGACGACGACGACGACGCTCTCTAACGAGGCAACCTGATACCAAATTCGTAGCAACAGTCACAGCAAACGGTCAGCATACAAACGAACAGGCCAACACGCACACACACACACACACACACACGCATACCTACGAGTGTGCACCAAGTTGTGGCAGGTAATGAAAAATGTGCGAGTGGGCAGCAAGTTGGCGAGACAGGGTTTGAAAGTCATACACGAGCTGATTTAAAGCTGATTTTAAATGTACAAGCGATGCTGCTCTAAGGCCCACAATTATTTACCTTACATTACCAAATGAGTTGGAAATGTACAGAGAGCAGCTAATAGGACTTACAGCTAATAATAATGGCGCGAGTTCAAGCAACTAAGCCCATGATTAAGCTACCAAATGAAGGACCTTCAAAATTCAAAAACTAATTCCTGCCAAAAGCCAAGACATTGCAACTCTAAATTAAATAAAACAAATTATACGTGATCTTAAAACTTTGCATTATAAACTAAATTCTAATTTGTATGCTCTCTGCTCTTCTTTTTATTTATTTATTTATGCCAACAAACATTGACTGTCGATATAGGAGGAATATATATATAAATTA